CAGTGCTGCCCCGTAGGCAGGTCCCGCCTCAAGGCTTGCCTGGGTTTGCCCTCCTTCGGGTTCGACTGCAGCGAATAGTCCCACCGAACGCGCTCGGGAGGACGGAGCCCGGGGGCAAGTCGGAACGCTGAGTCCGTGGGTTTCTCCGGTAAGCCTAGGCCACCGGGAAGGTAACTGAAACGCAGCCGTATGCCGACACGACGAGCGTAACAAGTTCAGACTTTATTTGCAACGGCTCGTTGTTGGTGCTGAAGGCAGAAGACACGGTGGATCTGCTTCCTTACCTAGTAATACCCTGCCTGCGTTAAGGCAGAAGTTAAGCTGCAATTGATGGCCGAGTATTCGCGTAGCCCTTTCCCAGCTGAAACCTGAGGGGCGTAAAAAGATGGTGATGCTGAATTTTAACAAGGAACTCTTCTCTGAACAAATCGACTGTGTAACCCCATGAACAGTATCAGTATAGTGAAGCTGCAGTGGGAGGAGAGGCAGGACTGGAACCATGGTTTGGTTTCACAGGTAGCGCTGCTTCTTGCGCTTCACGCTGAAATACATCTGGCCATCTTGCTAAGAAGCCGGTGGCAGTATAAGGGGCTGGTGGCCTCATCTCTACAAATTCTGGCCTTTTGGGCTGATCAGATTCTTAGGTCAATAGTCTAATGCTTATTAAAGATGACTCTTCTGTTTGCCAATAGAGCAAGAGCAGTAACCAAAATTATACAAGTGCATTTCAGTTGAGCTGTCCAAACTGAAAGAAATGCTGATTTTTTTTAAAATTCTTTTTTCTTAAAAAGGTTAAACTTCTGGTACAAGAGCAGAAAGATTATCTGTGTAACTCCTTGCACATGAAGAAATCTTTTTCTACAGAGGAGGAGCTGGCTTGATTGTGATACTTTGATTCATTTAAAAACAGTGATGTGAGGCTAGAATTGAAGCTGACTCTGAAGCCAGCTGTTCAAGAACATCTGGGGGCTTTGTACTTGGCACTGTCATATGTTGTATCTTTTAGGGTTTAGCTGCTTGTCCCCCGGTGTTCATCTTGCCAAAGGCTTGGTCCAGCTTTAAATGCTGTGTTCGTCAGCAGTCTGGGTCCTGGCCTAGCAAGTGATATCATACTGTTGGTTCTGCTTTTCCCTAGCACTTCAGCCCTGTTCTTCTGTCACTAATACACAGTCAGTTGTGTGGTCTGCATACATCATTTCATGCAACTAAGCTCCTATGTATGAAAAATGAAATTGGTTTCAATGACTTCAGGTAGTAGAGTTGAGACTTTAAGCCTATGATTTACTTTTTCGATGTAGGCTTTCTGTTTTAACTGGGTAAACATATCCCAAGGTGTAGCTGAGTTCATAACTTGGCTCATCACTGTTTAGCTCATACCTCTGTCATTGTTGACAAGGGGATGCCAGATGCTGTTATGCTTCGTAAGTAGATAGAGGAAGTATTGCTCTCCCGTAGATGTACGTACAGCCCCTAGCACAGGGAAATTGCAGTGCTTTACCATGTTGCTACTACAGTATATAGCACAACGTTGTTGTTCTGTGCAAGTACCTCATTTTTCAGTAGAGTGCCAAATGTCATCTAGTTATGAGTTACTCTAAACAGGGAGAGAGAGGATCAGGATTAAATGCTGTGAAATCTGTGTGTACTTGCAATTCAAATTTTAAAATCTGTTATGCCCTGGGAGGTGCAACTCTGAATTTCACCTGTTACCAGAGTTCCTGGAAACTTCTAATCTGACTTGGGATGATGGCTTTGCATATCCCACCCAGTGCTGACGGCTCCAGAAATTCTTGCTTAGTTCATTACACTCATGCTCCTTTTAGGAGTCTGTAAGAGGAGGTTAACTATTACTGATGAGGCAGGGAGAGGTGTGATTATATAGGATAAAATTAAGAAATCAGCAGGAGCCAGAGGAAAATGTCCTAGTTCAGCTGGTTAGTTGTGCTAAAGTTTAAGATAACTTATAGGCAGCTCTTTCTTCACGTATTTTGGTAAGTCAAGAACTATGCTGTGGTTATGAGACCACATGATAAGTTTAAAAATTTCCTGTGATGGGAATAGCAATGTGCATGCGGAGCACTAGCTATTTATCTGCACTAGTTTAATGATGTAGGAAAATGGGCTGATTGAAAAGTACAGCTAATTTTAAAGAGGCTGCTTCTTGCGTGAGCTGGGGTCTAGAGGCAGCCTCCATAAGTATGGGAGTTTAAACTACGGACGTTCCTGCACTTAGTACTGGGAAGATGTTGGGGGCAAGTATATTTAGCGCATGGAGGACTTCTCACTCATCTCCAACATGAGATGGCCCACGTTTGTGGGGTTTACAGAGCTCTTTGACAGCATGCGCATAAATCCTTTGTTGCGGCTGAGTGGAGGTCAGCCGGGAGTGAAGTAATTGAGAATGAAGCTGGGACAGAGTTGCAAGGTGTTGCAACCTGTTATTTGGAAGATGAAGTGCCCTAACGCAAGCTCACGCTGAGGTGTGTCCTTTGGTTGATGTAATGCCAGTCATCTGTTGCCTCATTGATGCGACTCAATGGGTCCTTCTAGAAAGTACAGAAATCCTCAGAAGAGCAATAGTTGAAATGGAGCAGTCACACCCAGAAACATCACAGGGAAAGAAATTAAAATGATGGTCTGGTTTGGTTGACAAATACTTCTTCTCGCACCCAGAGAGGCCTTAGAGTATCCGAGGGACTTCAAATGCTCAGCTGAGGCACTAAATCTATCTTAGAAATGCAGCGTGGAGTTCAAGCAACAGTTGCAAGTCTTAGCAAAGCTCAGCCACAGGATTTTATGGTATCTTGTACTGCTAGTTTCTGATGCTTGTTTTGAATCAGATGTGCTAGGAATTTCAGCTTTGAAGGATTTCCTCTGAAACTTTTCTCAAATGGTCTTTTTTTGTTGTTTCAATCCTAAATATCTTAAAGCTACAGATGTACAAAGGAAGCTGTATGTCACCCCTGCATCTAACTTTAATTAGAACTTTTTAAAAAATGTGTTATTTATATTTTGTCCAATGCATAGTTCTGAGTGTCCTTTCCTTCAAGAAAATAAAAAAATTAAAAGGTTTATTTGAAGAGGCTGCATATATGGATTATCAGCCTTGTTAGGCTAAATAATATTGTCTGCATGTGGAAAACATTCTCAGATTGTTGTAAGCAAGTATATATTCCCTGCAGTAGAAATGTTCTTTTCTGGGGTAGTATTGGGATGGGTGTAGGTAGGTGTTTCTGAAAGCGGTTCCATGAACTTAAGGTAGTAGTCGAAAATTAATTCCTGCTTTTAGGAAGCAGTGCTGCTCAGTTTTTCTTTCTTAATAAAGAGGATGTTATAATTATCTGTCATATGATGTGCATTTATTTTAGTCGATGTGTTTTTAGAAGGGATACCATTTGAGAATCTATTCGAATTATGTGTTTAACCCAATCTCTTACTCTCCTCTCACATCTCTTGTCAGCTTTTGTAAGTATTGTCACTGCAGGGGAGAAACTAACTGCTTACATACAAATGAGAAACAAAAATACTTTTTTTGTCTGGAAGTTAGTTGCTCATCAGGTGTGACCAGTCAAACCCTTCCATAGAAGTGATATTTTTGGGGTATGTTTTCTTAAAAATGTTCCATTGAGTGCTTTGAACTTGTTTATCACTCTTCACTCCAGCTGGGTAATATGATGGCAGTCTTCAGATATGAGGTTCCTCTGAGTGTTTTTGAAAATCACCAGCTGAGTACAGAAGAGAGACACTGATGGATGAAAAGGGGGTAATATAAATGCAGCCCCTGCTAGATGCTGCAGAGCCGATGTTATTGGAGGCCGATGTAAATGCCACAGGAAAAAAATGAATCAGAGTTCATATGTTATTTGTGACCATCCTTAAGGTACAAGTTGATGGGTAAATTGAACTTTGCTAGTTCTCCAGGTTACTGAATTTAACTTTGACTTTCAGAAAATCTTTTTATTACAATAATAACCTTGAGTTGTGTGGATTAAGAAAAGTGATGAATTTCCATAAGCTGTTTTAAAAACATTGTTGAAACATTTTCCAAAATGCTGATCTTTGTGGGTTTTTGTTTGTCTGTTTTTTCCTCTGATTTAGAAAACTCTATGTGATGTCATTCTTATGGTTCAAGAAAGAAAGATCCCAGCTCACCGTGTCGTGCTTGCTTCAGCCAGTCATTTTTTTAACTTGATGTTTACTAGTAAGTCCTTTCAAAATTGATTGATTATAAACTTCTGTGATGATAATCCTGTTAGACTTGTGGCTGACAAGCTGTTTATGAAAATGATTAATTTCAGGGATAACTAAAGCGAACATTTCCTCACTTTGTGTCCTTCCATTCATCTCTGTTCACCCTTCCCCTCAATTTCCCTTTAACTCTCTTCCCTTCAACGAACTTAGTCCTGTGTCTGGATGTGGGGAGCTTGGAGCTGTCTCTGTTGTTATCAGCTTCAATGTGGAAGTAGCTTTTGACAGTGTGGTGTGTGTTTCCTGCTTTTGGGAATGCTAACTTGGCAGTCTGCACTGCAGTTAACAGCATCTATGGCCTTTTCAATTTAATACAGTTTATCATAATTTGCATAATACAAGCACGCACACACACACCAGTTGTCTTGTTTGTCCCACTGCCTTCTTTCTTTCCTGACTTGCATTAGTAATCCTGGGCAAACAGTAATCAACTGTGTGTGGTTTTTAGCGGGTTCCCACTTTGTATAATCACTTTATTTTCTCCTATTTGCAAAACGTACAATAACTAGAGTGGCTTATTGATGTAGTTTGTCTTTCAATCTTTTTGCAGCAAATATGCTTGAATCAAAGTCCTTTGAAGTGGAGTTAAAAGATGCAGAACCTGACATTATTGAACAGCTTGTGGAGTTTGCTTATACTGCAAGGTAGCTTTGTTATTTAAAACTGACACTTCTTCTAGGAAGCTTGCCAGTTGTAAATGATAAAATATTAAAATAATGCTATTGTGATTCATCAGGTTTGTTACCATTATAATTCTTTACTTTGCTTAAAGCCTGATATGACTAGACCTTCTATCCTTCTTCCTTTTTATTTAATCAGTAGGAAGCCCGACAGAGTAAAGAGTGGTAGTTGTCTCCAGAAAGCAATTCAAAGCACTTCAAGCTTTTAACTTCAGTGTTGGAGTCAAATGATATTTCCCATTGTTCTGAAATTCAGGCCCTTACTGATAAAAACAAAGTTTCTCTTTGTGATAGCTATTGCACAGTACCCTTTGCAGGAGTTATACCTTTACCTCAGGACAGGCAGGGTAGATAACTGCTCTGTGAACAGCACTTCCTTCCTATCTCAGGTTGTCCATGTCTGTGTTTTTTGGTTTGGTTTGGTTTTTTTTTAACAGAGCTGGTACAGATGACTAGGATTGTAACAGTACTTAATTGGCTCTCATGATGGATGGCTGGCCTGCCTTTCATCTTTGTACTAATGGGATTAATGCTCCTTAGGAAGGCTTTCTCCTCTCTTTGAGGGGAATCTTGTATACTCCATCAGTGGTGAGAGACAGTCAGTGTCAGCACCCCAGCCATTGCTGATGCCTCCCCTGGTGCCCAAGCCCTTGTCTGTGGGCTCTGTGCCTTCTCTTGAGTCACTGTCAAACTGGTTGTTCTGCTTGTGCACTCAGGCAAATCAGCCAGAGCAGTCTTGACAATGAGTTTAGAGAGATTTTTGCTGATGCCTGTTTGGGAGTAGGAGACTGACAAAACAGAAAGTGAACAGAACCTTTTTTATGTCAAAGTGGCTAATCACACAAGTCAAAGCAGTAATACAGTATTGCAGAGAGCCGGTGTTAAAGGCTTATTCTTCAGGATCCAGGACTGTTTACTCTTTGCCCTTTCTCAGTAAAATTGAGAAAGTGAAAACCATTTGGGAAGACTGTGAAGGGAGGACGTGTCCTCAAACTGCATGAGAGAAAAATGCTTGGGCAAATAGCAGGGAAGTAATTTTGCTATTTATGTGAATTCATGTAAGCTTTGGGGTTGGTTTTTTTGACTACAACAAAGTAGGTAGTTTTAGCGATGCTAATTTTGTACCTTCTGTTTTGCAGAATCTCAGTTAACAGCAATAATGTCCAGTCTTTACTAGATGCAGCAAACCAATATCAGATTGAACCTGTGAAAAAAATGTGTGTGGACTTTTTGAAAGAACAAGTTGATGCTTCAAATTGTCTTGGTAAGAGAAATGCAGACTTAAATTTACTTCTAATTTTTTAACTTTGTTATTCCTGAAAAATAGATAGTATTGTCTAAAAGACAGTAATATTTGGCTAAATCCAGGCACATAAAAATTTTCTCTGAATCTGAACTGTTGTCCCTTGCTGTAGACAAAACAGTCTGGCAGTTGTCTTTGCCAGTATCAAGGCTGCTACTTCACTAGGTCTTATCCCAGCTTGGCAGCACCCTGCAGCTTCTTGTTTGTTAGAGAACCTCAGCTGTTTATTAAGGTGGGGCATTCAGTTGCTGCTGCTGTATTTGGAGACAGGATTTGACAGAGTTGTAACTTCTACAAAACTAGTGTATCTTCTAAAAATATGAACAGGATAACTTTAGGTTACTTTTGGTTTTAGTTGCTCTTGATTTTGACTGAAATCCATGAATGTTATCTGGGCAGATTTAAGTATGTTCTCTTAAGTATGTGAACTTGGCGTTAGAGAAAAGATAAATGACAAGTAGAACTAAATGCTTTTTTATGCTTAAGATTTGGTGCACTTCATCTTTAATCTCTGATTAAACTTGTTTATAGGGTTTCCTATTGGCATTTGTCATATAATTCTCCTAGTAGCATCTCAGTCATGTTATAGATGTTTATAATATCAACAGAAATGTTTTGCAGAGTATCTGAATTAGAATGATTCACCTGACACTTCAGTACAGGACAGCTGTGGCTCTGGAACAACTGCTGGAAGGAAGACCTTACTTTCTAAGGAAAATGCCACTTATGCTTGCTTTGAGGCTTATTCTCTCCTGTGTTTTGTTAACTAGAAAATTAATTATACTCTCTAACACTTGTATACTTGCTAATTTATAGCAAAAAAGGGAGATAAACATTAAATCATTTTTCCTCAAGGCATTGTTTACAAGTTGAAATTTGTTCTGTGCGGACTCATAGGCAAGTTCACAGTTCATTAAAAAAGTGTCTTTAAAAGAAACCATGGCTTATTTTGAATCTCTTGAAATTTTGTTAAGAGGTGGTACACTTGGATAAAATGATAAAACTTTGTAGTTTGCATTTTACTACTTAGGAGCAGCTCAGGCTAGTTGCAGCCCATGGGTTGGTGAGTTGCTTCTACCCCAGCTGCCATCTCCTTCTGTGGAGGAGGAAGACTGTAGCATGATGAGCAAAAGTTGCTGAAAAGCTCTGTGCTTACCTGGTTCCCAATAGGAAGGCTGGAAATGGTGCTTCTCAAGAGCAGCTGCTATTTATGCCTTTGTGCCAACCTTCTGCCCTTGCAGCAGCATCAGCTTGACACTTTTGTGTTGGCCTGCAGCTGACTCTCTATATAGGTCACAAAAGTCCCAGTTCACTGTGACTCTTGAAGGAAACTTGGCCTGGTTGGTGACTGCTGCTGCATGAGCAGCTGTTGTGGTTTAACCCCAGCTGGCAGCTAAGCCCCACGCGGCCGCTTGCTCACTCCTCCCTGGCAGGATGAGGGAGAGAATCAGAAGAGTGAAAGGGAGGAAAAACTGGTTGAGATACAGATGGTTTAATAGGGAAAGCAAAAGCTGCACGCACAAGCAAGCAAAACAAGGAATTCATTCACCACTTCCCATGGCCCGGCAGGTGTTCAGCCATCTCCACGAAAGCAGGGCTCCATCATGCATAATGGTGACATGGGAACATAAACGCCATCACTCCAAATGCCACTGCTTCCCTGTGCCTGTCCCCCCCCCCAATTCCCCTAGCCCCTTATATTCTAAGTATGACATCATATAGTATGGAATATCCCTTTGGTCAGTCTGGGTCAGCTGTCCTGTCTGTGCACCCTCAGCTATCCCATTGGCAGGGCAGTGTGAGAAGCAGAAAAGGCCTTGACCCTGTGTAAGTACTGCTCAACAATAATGAAAACATGTCTATATAACCAAAGCATCTCTTTCAACACTGTTTTCAGCACAAATCTAAAACATAGGCCCATACTAGCTACTATGAAGAAAATTAACTCTATCTCAGCTGAAACAAGGGCAGCAACTCAGGGGAGGGCATAAAACCTGGATCCAGTTTCTCAAGTTGTTCTGGTTAGACTTTGTTATTGTGATAAGGCTTGGACTTGGTTATGGTACTGGTATCTGCTTCGTAATGAAGAAAGCATCAGTGAGGAAATAACGCTGGAGAAATCATTAATACAGCAAGTGCTGCAGGTCTGACTCTTCAGTTAGTTTGGTAGGGATAGAGATCAGAAGCTTGTGTTCATCTTAGTTTGTCTTGAGTTGCAGACGAGTTATGACAGCATGTGTTTTAAAGAAAAAAAAACAGTATGGTAATGTTGAACTGGGACTCCATGTATCTCTGAAATTACAGTAATTTTATTCTACTTTAATATATTAAAGGTAATGGCAGTTCAAGTTTGTAAAGGTTTTTTTGTAATTTTTCCTTCATAGGTATAAGTGTGTTAGCAGAATGCCTAGACTGTCCAGAACTGAAAGCCACTGCAGATGACTTTATCCATCAGCATTTCACTGAAGTTTACAAGACCGATGAGTTTCTTCAGCTTGATGTTAAGCGTGTGACACATCTCTTGAACCAAGATACGTTGACAGTGAGGGCAGAAGACCAGGTGAGATCCTGGTTTCATACCAGCTAAGAGCACTGAACTTCACAATCTTTTTTTAATCAATAACTGGTTGAAAGCATTTCAATCACGATGTTCCTACAGTATATGATGTACATAGTGCTTGTTAAATTGTAGTATATAATGTGCGTCCTAGCTTGGTCAAAAGCAAATATTAACAAATATCCCCATTTCAAGTGTGGTTATTACATGTCTTGTTTCAGCAGACTAGGAAGAAGTGAGTCATAAAGGGAGTAAACATATTTACGGTTAGCAAAAAAAAGAAGGTAGCTTTAATTACTAGCTGGCCTTTTTTTCCCCCATATGCAAGTAATGTTTCTGTTGATGAAGGCATACAATGTTCCTGTCCCAGTAATTCTGTTGAATTTCCTTAGCTGATGGAATTGAGCCTGAAATATACTTATTTTTATTCATTTCTTTACTCTCCCTTGCTCCCTGGTCATTTTGCAGGATTATAGCTGAGGTGGCTTAGCAGTCCTGAATAACTCTAATTCTGCCATTAAATGTCTTTCCATGTTATATCTCAATCAGTCACCACTGATCACTGTGATCACTTTCAGCTACAGGAGTAGGTATTGACTGTGCTATCACTTGTAACAAAATCAGTACTGATTCTGAAGTGGCAGCATAGTAGATAAGCTTGCTATGTCTGAGAGTAGCACTGAAGTATCTTAGTACATAGATAATATTGGAATTTTTGTTTAATTTCTTCCTGACCCAGAGGACAATCATAAATAGAGCAGATTTCTTGGTTACCTTCCCTGTGCTGTCCTCCCTGTCCCCTAAGAAAACCCATTATATTTTCCTGTAAAGAGGAGATGGAGAGGAGGCTCTCTGGTAATACAGCAGTCTGCAGCTGAAAAATTTAATTTAAATGGTACCCTAAGACACAATAGCAATACATTTGGATCTCTAACACTATGATTTGATAAAAGAAGCAGTTTGTCAGCTCAGGAGACTATATCAAGTAGAAGCTATTTCAGCATTTCTGGTGAAGTAGTACCTGTGTTTGTGGCATGGAACTTGAAGCATATTAGTCTGAACCTGGTACAGGAGTTACCCACATAAATGTGAATTGCAGATTCATGCTTCCCATTTGGAGGAAAAGGGGAAAAAAGAAGCTAAATAGCAGAAGTAGTGGTTTGGTTTTTTAAAGTCTGTAGATGGGTTTTGTTCTGTGGTTGTGTATTTATTTTACCTCATGACTGAGCATTGTCTTTTCTTTGGTGTTTAGTTGTTTTTGGGGGGGGGGGTTGGGGTTTTTTTTGGCAAGATGGTAATGGATCCCCGCATAATAAAATGTTAGTGTAAGTTATCTTCCAACAGGCAGAAGAATCAATTTGAAGTGTTAAGGTTTCATTATTTGTCTTACTATGTGATGTACCTTATCCTTTTCTTTACTTGTCTCTTGCTTAAGGTTTACGATGCAGCAGTCAGATGGCTGAAGTATGATGAGCCAAATCGCCAGCTGTACATGGTTGATATTCTTGCTAAAGTCCGATTTCCTCTTATATCAAAGAACTTCTTAAGTAAAACAGTTCAGGCTGAACCACTTATTCAGGATAACCCAGAATGCCTTAAAATGGTGATCAGTAAGTTGACTTCTAGCTGAAATCTTTAATCTTCTGTGTAATTAAAAAAATGCTGTGGAATTTTTGAAAATTGTTTGCTTTAAAATTCTCTGACAACATTTTCACATTAAATTCATCTGACTTGTTTCCTCTAGGATGCTTCATTTAGTTAAAGTTGGATTAGGAGATTATCATGTAAATAAAACCCGGTTATGTAACAGAGTGTGACTTTCATTTCTTTTCTCCTAGCAAATTACATGAACTCCATGACAAGTAATGGAATAGATATTTTGTAAATGAGTTGTTAGGGTAATTGGAAGTGTTAGTGTGCCTTTGGGACAGGCTGGTAACTTCAATATTGTTCATATGTGAATAGAAGAAATACTTTATTCAAAACTTTGACATATTACAAAACTTCCCTAAGCAAATTAGAATGTTAAGCATATGTTGCACTTTTTTTATCTCTATGTACTGACCGTTGAGCCTACAGACAGTTGCATTCTTAAGGTGCAGATGAGATAGGGAATAAGCTTCACTTTTTAGATGCCGTTTGTGAAATTTTATCATATAAGAAAGAAAATCTTAGATGTTGATAAATATTCTGGAAGGAAATTTTTTCATTTTGGTAGTGGTTAATTAGTTGGCTTCATTTTAGTATAGATCTAAAACACGGTATGCAACTGTTCTCCTCCAGTCAATGAGCAAGATTCAAATTAACATGTTGGTAAGTATTTGCTGACCATTGACATCTTAGTCATACTACTTGTGTGACATGGAGTTAGGTGCATTGTTTAAGAAATAAGGATTCTTCTTTGCCTGGTTTTAGTGGCTTGTAATGTTGCTATTTTTTGTGGTCTTTGGAATGTTTCTTAGGAGAATGCATATTTTCATACACTAATTGTAACTAATATTTTGCATTGTCAAGCTAAGAACAAAAGCGATGAGTTTTCATGAGGTACAATATGCTAGAAATGCCTTCCTTATTAATCAGAAATTGAGAGGTGAGGAGGCGGGCACGGTTGACTCCTTGATGCATTCAAGTCCCTTCTTTTAATGTTAGTATTGTCCTCTTTAGGCTCTGAGTTCTGCTGTTCCTTTTGCCTAATTCAGTGCAACAAAATTAGTTGCTTGTTAATATTGGCTAAATGAGCCGATTGATAAATCGGTATATAATGTGAGTCCATGTCCTATTTTCACATGAAGCAGGCAATTTGAAATGGGATGTAAACCTGGATGTACGCTCCCATCCTCATGTGCTGCTGTGCATTCTTCCCTTTTAAATCAAAGCTGTATAGCTGTAACGTAGAAACTTGGTTTCCCCCTTTTCCCTCCCTTCCCTCTCCTTCCCCCCCATCCCTGTCTCTGAAACGTTCCTTTCCATGTGTGAGCTACACTGGGTCTGCAACAGTTGTTGTCTTCCTTCCAGGTGGGATGCGATACCATCTACTTTCTCCAGAAGACAGAGAAGAGTTGGTGGAAGGTACGCGGCCAAGAAGAAAAAAACACGATTATCGCATTGCTTTGTTTGGAGGCTCACAGCCCCAGTCCTGCAGATATTTTAATCCAAAGGTAATCGTTACCTCAGAATGCATTAAGATTCACTGTTTGTAATCTTATGTGTTTTATTTACTGATGATATTAGCTAAGACCTAATGATCTACAAAACGGTAGTAGGAAGGACGTATTCCCTGCCTCTTGGGTATACAGTTGAAAAAGTATCCTTAATCAGGTATTTTCAAGTATGTGTACCTAGATGTAAGACTTCCTTTTGAATAGAATGATTATGTGTTTGTTGATTGGCAGTATTAGATACGGAGTTCTGATAAATCCATCTGAGTTGAGAATCGATTGGTATGTGCATCCCACAGCTGGAAATAAATAAAAGGTCACTGAAACATCAAGAGTTGGTTAGGAATATATAAGTCTGTGTACGTGTGCATGCACGTATGTGTTCAGAGAATAACTCCAAGCAATTTCTTTTTAGCACAAGTTAAATTATTGGCTTGTATGTTAGCATAGAACCCAGTTTCAGAGTGCAAAGTGTTTTTTCAGTGAATTTATTATAAATATGCAACCACTTCTAAATCCCAGTGGCTCACAGTTTTGTTTGCTCTTAAGAGTATATAAGGAGAAGAATTGGGAGC